GTCAGGCATTGCAGTAACTGATCTCTAAGCTTAGCCTGGCCAAGTAGGATGAACGCGCATTTTACATTCATTGCCATATATTTAAATTGCATTTGTCCTCTTGTCTTCCTTGCTCTGAAATGAAAGCCTGGAAGGAGCTGCATTTGGACTGGAATGACCAAATGTTCACAGAGACATTTGTGGATGGTGGGGAGGAAAGGAGGGGAAAATCCCTTAATTTGACTGCATACTTTGGCATTTATGGCTGGGGGATGAGAAGGAGCAGGAAGGGTTTGTAGTTGTGCTATCCCCACAGAAGACCTCAGATCATTAGTGTTTTCATCAGGTGGTTGTCTTTAAAGTAGTTTTTAGCAAGGGCTGCTTATCAGCACATTTTACAATGCGACATTTGTCTTTGGAAAATACCGCATCCCCAGCAAGAGCCCATACCCAGGGAGCCCAGGCAAGGAGATGCTGCTGACTGACGTCAACACACGTCAAAGAGGAAAGTATTTTGGGCTTTGCTTATGAAGTGGAAGCCAGACCATGCTCATGTTGCAACACTGATATCCCTTCAGCGCAGGGACCCCCTGGGACCATGGGGTGGACTTTAACCACTGTGCATGTTTGCTGTTCAATGCCCATATCACCATGGCAGAGGTATGTGATGGGTTTCATGAAGTAGCACAAGTGTCCTGCGGTAAGGGGCTGTTTTACTGGCATATGTTGAAAGCAGCTCGAGATGGCTCTGAGATTTCTCCTTTGCTGAGCTGTGGCTGGGGAACATGGGAAGAAGGTGATGCTTTGGCTTTGCTTTGCAATGGCATCTGCAAGTCCACCAGCCCAGCAGCAGCTCTGTGGGATGCAGGGGAGACTGCATGGGGACTGCCCTGGGACCCCCCTGTCCTCTGGCTCGATGGGGTCTGCAAAGGCATCTCTCTGCCATATTAAGGCCTGGCTGCTTGGGGGGAGACTGTGGGGACTGCCCTGGGACCCCCCTGTCCTCTGGCTCGATGGGGTCTGCAAAGGCATCTCTCTGCCATATTAAGGCCTGGCTGCTTGGCCCAGGCTGCAGGGAGGGGTGCCAGCTGCCTTTTCCAGCTTTTCTAGCATTTCAGGAATGTCCATCCTTCACTGAAGCTACATTTCAAAGTCTTTAACCCTTTGTTTGGCTGCATCCCGCATGCCTGAATGCGTGCCAGCCCAGCCCTGGTGCGTGGGCGCAAAGGCATCTCTCTGCCATATTAAGGCCTGGCTGCTTGGCCCAGGCTGCAGGGAGGGGTGCCAGCTGCCTTTTCCAGCTTTTCTAGCATTTCAGGAATGTCCATCCTTCACTGAAGCTACATTTCAAAGTCTTTAACCCTTTGTTTGGCTGCATCCCGCATGCCTGAATGCGTGCCAGCCCAGCCCTGGTGCGTGGGCAGAGAGGGGCACAGCCGAGGGGGAGCTGGTGTCCCCCTCGTACCCAAGCGCACCGGGAGGTCTCAGCTCGGCAGTGCAGAGGCAGCATGCCCTGAAGTACCCAAGCCACGCAGGAGCTCGTCTCTGGCTCTTCGGATGTAGCGTGTCCCCGTGCATCTGCTTCTTTGCGATTCATGCTCAAAGATGTGCAGCTTGCAGTACCCACTGCCTTGCTGCTGCAAATGACTTGTGTAATGGTGCAAATGGTTCATTTTGGGCCTAGTTCGTACCCTTGTACCTGGCCAGGTGGGAAGCACCAGGTGGTGGCACTCTGCTTCTCCAGCATCACTGTTTTAGGGAGAGATCCCTCTGCAAACGCTTTCAGGTTTGCTTCCTTCTCTGGTAGACTTGTCCCCCTGGGGAGGGTGATCTGAGGTCCTCACCACGCCAGCGGAGCCTCTGGAGAACAATTTTCAGTCTTTGGACACGTAGTTATGGTGTACTACTGCTGTAGTACTGTGTTCCTCCCTCCTGTACGACATTGTGTAGGCTACAGAAATCCTCTCTGGCAGTCATTGCATGGATTTCAGAAGGTGTTTCGCCCACTCAAACCCAAGCTATTGAGTTTCTTTGTATAAAACTGTTTAGGAGAGAGATTGTATTAATTTAGGTATGCACCAAATGGGCTTGGTTCTGCTCTTGCTAAAACCTGTGGGAGATTTATCCTGCTAGTTAAATCTCTTAAACCGCAGGAGACTTTTCAGCAATGTACTTTAAAGTTCCATCAGTGTTTTAAATTAAACTTACAGTGACACCAAAAATGGTAATTTCTTTGGCATCTAAAAAGTAATGCGTCTTGAGGATGTTTATGTTCAGGCACCAGATGCGTTTGTCAGGTTGGCGTGGTGGTATTAAGTCTCTGTGTGACAAATGAGCAGCAGGTTTAATGGTTCACTGCTCCCAGTGCCTATTCCCCTGCAAAAAGTTAAGCCCAAGTATTTGCAGAGCCGGGCAGGTCTGTGCTTGCGGCAGCAGCGGCTTCCCACGAGATGGTGCTCGGAGCATGCGGTCCCACCGGCCATCTGTGCCAGGAAACCAGCCCTTCTCCTGGGTATGGGCTGCTGCAGGCTGGCATCCAGCCTGACGCTCTCTGGCCCCACTTCTCCCAGTCACTTAGCTTTCAGCCTACGAGCCTCTAATTGCATATGTAACTGCTTTTCTGAACAGGGAGCTATTGTGTCTCAGGTATAGCTGTGTTTTGTACTTCCCAGGATAATGCAACTATTTAAAAAAAAAAAAGTGTGTGTTGCAAAATGTTGAGTCCTAACTGGAGGCACCAGGATGGGGAAAGGTGTCTGGGTGGAGAACAGAGCTGTTGGACTCAGTATGGTACGCCTGAGCAGCACCGTGCTGCAGTTGAAGCGCTGCATGGTGGGTTGACTGTGCAGGTAGCTGCCCCGGTGTTGAGGAGCTGGTGAGGCTTGGGAGACCCAAGCTGATGTCTCTGCTTTGCAGCGATGCTTCTCCTGTACTTGTACAAGCTGTTTACATCTGGAAACAGGAATATACACAGGCGTGTGCTCCTCTGTTAGAGGCACAAACATCTCCTTTCTCCCATCCTTCTTCATCTGTCATCTCTTTCAGCGAAGTATCTTGCGGGGTTGTCAGCCCTCAGCTGAGCTGTGTACGGGGAGTGCCCAGCGCTGGGGACCCGGCTGGGGGTGCAGGGTGCTCCTGTACATCTAACTCCTGCTCCAAAAAAGCCTTGGAGTGGAAATCAGCCTCAGTCCTGTATTTTAAATGATGGGAATATTTCAGGTCAGGGGCAGATTCGTGCTGCACCAGTATAAATCTAGGGTTGCCTTTGCATCCCCACATGTCTGAGTCGGTCTCATTCCTAATTTAGAGTTTAATTGGGGCCAACCTCCTGTGTATCCCCAAAACCCTCAGTCTGCCCTGACAGCTGTTGTGGCTGAATATCCTCATGCCTCTTGCTTTCTTCTCCAGCAAAGCATCCTCCCTGAGCTGGCCCCACTATTCCTCCTGTCTCCTTCCCTTCCTTTAAATTCCTGCTGAAGTCCCACTTCCTCCGCAAAGCCTCTGTGAAATGGGCTGACTGTCATTGCCCGAGCTCACCCGGCAGCGTGGGGATGAAGGATTAGTGGGCAGGGGAGCTGGCAGATGGGGAGGCAGTCACTGGGGCTGGGAGTTGGGTGAGGACACGATGTGTAGGAGATGAATCGCAGAAAGGAATATTCATCGTGTTTACCCACGGCACCGGAAAAACAGTCGTACAGTAAAAGCAGACTGATGCTTGGCGTTATCTCAGCAATCTCGCTTTCGCAGGCTGTGCCGGGGTTTGGCAGCGTGTGCTCAGGCTGTCAGCTTTTGGAGACGAGGATTTGTTTTGTGCTTGTAGAGTACCGTGGCCTGTCACTGGGGCTGTGATGAATACCAACAACCCACAGCTCAAGAAGGCACCAGTGTGCTCTGTGCCACTGCTGTGGATGCCAGCAGTCAGCGGTGGCAGCCGCTTGCTCTGGTCCTGAAGCAGAGTTTGAGGTTGGTGCGGACGTGCTTGTCTCGCATCCTGAGCATCACGAGCTGCTACCCAGGTATTGAGTGTAGAAACGCGTTCCTCCAAAGGCAAGCATGCAGTGATCCCTCTGTCCCTCTTCTCCTCACTTTTATCGCTCTGATAAACTTTGCCATTCCATAAATTTTGCAGCAGTGAATTTATATTTCTTTCCTAATTGCCGATGAAAAAGCTGAGTGCAGGCTTGGCCGCCCTCCTCTGCAGAGCTGCCCTGGCAGCTCAGGGAGGGTCCCTGTGGAGAGCTGCATCTGGAGATCGCTCCGCCAGCTCTTAATCTGCTTTACAGGTGCTTTACTGACTTGCACGGTACCCGTGTAAATCAAGATATCGCATGGTGCAGAGCCCAGCACCGCACCAAAGTCAGGGTACGTTCTAAGCAGTTACTTTGATCCCCAAGGCTGGATCTCATCAAAGGCTGAAATCAGGATTTTTTGACAACACCTATTTTCCATTAGCAATGTTGACAGCATTAATGATATTCTGATGCTTTAATTCTTTATTACTGAAGTCACACATCAGTGATAGTCATTATTTTGCAAGGGGGTTGATGTTATGCAAATCAGCTTGCAGTTAACTGGGTCATCCCACTCATTTTTTTTGGCTGTGGGCACAACACTACTGCTCTTGTACTGGAGTCTCTGTGGTCTGCCAAGATTTATTTTAAACAAACATGAGCAAGCCAGAATTTCTGAGCCAGCTTTTTTAGGACTCTTGGGTGCAAGTTATGTGAAAATATTTATCCCTGTTGTATACTGTTTAACATCTTCCTTGGTTACTAATGGACTGGAAAGGACTTCATTGTCCTCAAGTGATACAAGTATATCATCTTGCTGCTTTGCAAAGGCAGAGCAGAAATATTTATGGGAATCTTCTGCTTTTCTTTGTCATTATTAACTGTTTTGCACTCTGTGTTTTGGAGGGGGCTGGTGCTTATCTTAGGATTTCTTTTGTTTGTACTGAACTTTTAAGATCTCCTCTATATTAGCCCATCACATCGTGGTCTCCTCTGTTCTCACTCCCACAGGTACAGTCCCCAAATCACAAGGAACGGAGCAAAAGCTCAGCCTGGCAACCACGAGGTGAAGATGAAAGGTTCCGAGCCAGTGATCAGCCAGATTATTGACAAGCTGAAACACATCAACCAGGTTTGTTGCAGGCATGCCAGCAGGGATGGTGGCTCCGGAGTGGGCGGTTTCCAAATCAGTCTGGCCTCCCCCACACTTTCTTAGGGCTCAGCCAGACAACCCAGGGCATCTCTATCTTCTGCAGCTGCGTGCAGAGCCAGTGCTGCCTTGGCCCTGCGCAGTACCAGGCTCGCAGGGCACGTGTGGCAGGTCCTGATTCATGCAGGCTGGTGTGGTGCTCTGGGGGTGCAGTGGGAGCTGCAGGGCACGTGCGTTGCAGCCCTCCAGGGCTCAGCCTGCGCCCGGGAGGGTGCGTGGATGCATCCTTGCAGTGTGCTTCTGCTGGGCATCCATCTCCCACATGATGGAGGACCAAGAAAGATGGAGCTGCTGTGGTGCCCCTGAGCACGAGGTGCTGGCAGGGGTCAATGTGGCATGTGCTTGATGTCCCCTCTGGTTGGAAGACTCCCCTTTGGCATTGCTTATGGCTGGCAGAGAGGGTCACTTGTTTCTTTGCTGTATCTCCCTGGGCATCCACTCCCAGTCACTGCTGGGGCAAGTTACCATTGAATGGGGAAATGGCAGAGCTTGATGAGACCCTTTCTGCTGGGGAGGGAGCTTCCTTCCCACGGTCTCAGACCTGGCATCCTTGCCAGGACAAGCAGTATCTTGTCTCTACCCATCATGCCAGGCCAGGTTAAGCCTGTGAAAAAGCCCCACCGCTGCCAAGGGATTAGGTGGCACCTCTGTGGGCATTCAGCTTGCAATTGTTAACCTCCCAGAGCTCTTCTGCAGCGTTGCCTCAGGCCAGCCGGGCTGGGGTCCGGCTCCGGACTCAGCACTCCTCTCTGTGTCACTGAATAACTCGTAGAGGGGATGTTTTTCAGTAGAACTGATAGCTTGGACCTCTGTACTTTCCAGGGGCACACAGTATTGGGACCTTGCAGGGCAAATACTCAGGCAGTAATGCTGTCTGTTAATACAGCTGAGCTGCCCAGTCTCTCCTGAGAGAGCTCTTACTGGTGGGGACCTTGTTCAGGGTCGCTCCGGCATGAGGCTTTGGGCAGCGGCGGGTTCCTGGGGTTAAGCCCAGCTTTGCTTCCCGGCCCGGTGGGCTGTGAGGGCTGGTCTGTCTGGAGTTGCTGGCTTAGCGACTTTTCTGCTAACCTCTGCTTTCCTGCTCCCGCAACTGCCAGGGACTGTTTTCATAGCAGTTCCCGGTTTAACCCCTGCACCTTCCGATGCAGGCACGCCTCATTAGCTGCTGTCTGGGAGCGGGATGCAGCGAGGGTTTCAGGGTCCCCGGGATCACCCAGGCACACGGGAGCTGACGTGGGCAGCGGCAGCGCAGCCTGCTCTGCCTTCCCGCATGCCTCCCCCCGTGCCGAGCCATGCCATCTGCCAACAGCCCATAATTATTAAAAGTGGGGGGGGCGGGAAATAGCATAATCAGCTCCCTATTAAATGGGGTAGAGGGCAGGCTTCAACCTGCAGGTGATAATGATATTTTGCCGTTCACAGTGAGAAAGTCGCACCGAACAAAACATGGTTATTAGTGTACTTGAAACTGCTGACATAAAGTGGTTGTGAAATGCTGGCTGCCAGATTGGGTCAAGTTAGGTCTTTGCTGAACAGTTCAGGCTGCTGAGGAGTGGAGATTCGTGGAACAAGAGACCCTGGATAAACATCGCCGGGCTGAACTCAGCTGTTTACAGCAGCAGAGTGTCTTTGTCAGCCGCTGCTCTGGGAAAAATGGTGGTAAGGGGGTGAATATGGTCAGCTTGGTCATGATCTCTTACAGCGCTTCCCCTCCTTGGCTTGCAGTATTGGATTGGAACACGTTATGGGGGGCAGGTGAGTTGTTTTAGTTTAAACGGCATAAGTGTAAGAGTCTGAAAAATATCAAACCCTCTTGTAAAGTTGTGTTTGAGAAAGAGGGGAATTGAGAATAAAATCAGGAGAAAATGGGAAGTGATTTGTGAAAATTAGTTATGAACCTAGCTATGCCTGCGGAGGGTCTTTAGTCTATAGTAAGTAGCTTACATACCGGGAAAGTAACTGTGGAGGTCACTTAAATTTGGGATTTGGGGTGTCATAGCTCACCATCACACTTATTTTCTTGGCCTACCGAAGTTTTGCACTCTCCTTCACATCTGGAAGGCATCTTGAACGCCAAGGAGTAGGAAATGTGGAAGGAGCAGCTCTGGATGAATTACAGTTGTGTTTTTCAGGTGTTGGCTTCGGATCTGGGAAGCGGTGGGGACTCCCAGGCTGGGGAGGAGTGAAAATCTCCTGAATCCACCAAGCTCAAGCCAACAGCGCCTTTTAAGGGTTTTCAAACATCCAGAATCTTTTGGAGAAAAGAGCATCTCTTTGAGTGTTTGTAGTGCTCAGAGCTGTAAACTGGATTCCCCCTGTGACTGCCAGTAAATTGTGAATCTAGTAGCTTGTAATGAATTCCTCCCCATGTGTTGTGTTGGAGGTGCAGCTTGGATTTTGTGGATGTGGGTAGACGCAGGAGCCGTGCTAGCTGGTGCAATTTTTGTTAGGAGTTCCACAGCTTTTACTTTTACTTGTAGATTTTTGCTAATGTCTGTAATTTGCTGATGACTTGGCTTCGATTTATTCTAGGCTGCTCACGCTGCTGAAAAATGTGTGTTCTTTCAGCAGTACGCCACGTTTTCAAGCTTGCTTGAGTTTGGCGAATGTGTTGTGTGCGGAAATCATGCTCGCTCATTAGTTAGTGTCTTCTCAAACTGAATCTGGGTAAGTGCGCACAAATATATGAGAAAGTCTCATCAAACTTTTGCAGTTTGAAATGAGAATGGTGTTTATGCATTAGAACAAAATCCACGTGGACTGAAAGGAGTATAGAAAACTTAACCCAGAGAGAAGGGGAAGTAAAAGTTTGCCAGATTGTATTAGTTTGGTTCAAGCACCTTTTATCAAGCTAAAATAAATGAATGAATAAAGCTCACTGCCTGAGTAGTGTGCTGTCTCAAGTCAGTCCTTTCTGGATGAGTCCCCCTCGGTGGTGCCTACTCATCACATCGAGACTCCAGACCATTTTTGTTTCACCCGAACGTGTGATTGTGGGTGGTGCTATTTTTCGTGCGTTGGTGGGCGAGATGGTTTATTATTGCCATATTGGAAGTAAGGATTTTTTTTTTTCAGTTCTGTTAGATGTCTACCAAGTTTTGATTTGAGTTATTTTTGCTGTGTGCCCAGAGGCATGAACAGCCCATCCATAAATATTAGCGTTGTTATCTCAGCTGGGAGGCCAAGGGTCACCTTCAGGAAAATGAGTTGGAATTGGTTCCTAACTTTTATTTCCCAGAGTGGATGGGGTCTGTTTCTAGCTAGAAGGGTTTTCACTCATCCCACACGTGAAACTATATTGAAATTGAAAGGTTACTCTGTGTAAGCATGAGGTCTTGCTCAGTTTTTTTTGTCACTTGGTAGCATCCCTAGGCAAAAAGTGGTGTGCAAGGTGAGCTGTTTCCTCTGGTCATTCAATTTTCCTCCCACCACGGGGACGTTTAGGTGGCTGACAGATGGGGATGAGGTTCAAGTTTTAACAGATACGCGTGGAGGTGGGAGCCGTGGTGTCCATGTCCCACGTCCCGGGTGCTCTTCCACATTGGTGACCTCCTATTGAACCTCCTCCCAGGAAAGGCTCTGGAGAGCAGACCTGAGTGATGCTGGTGCGAGGATACAGCAGGGATGGAGACTGTGGGTACCAGATCAGCCGATGGACACTCTTGGTCCTCCCTCCTGTCCCTCTGGGTCCCCAGCTGACTGTGTGCTCTCTGCAGTGCTTACAGGGCTCTGATACCGTTGAAGCGGATGCTTTACCCCATCCTTACTGCACTTACCTGTTTAAGATTGTGCCCAGTTCTGATCCCTTTTTATGCTTAGATAAATCCTGGTGTTTATCACAGGACCATCTCTAGGAGGAAGAGTGTAATATTGGAAGAAAAGGGGGAGAAAAAACTCACCAAAAATGAAGAATAAAATCCATAAAAGGAAACTTAACTGGGGGAGATGTGTCTTTACAAGACTGAAGGGCCTGGAAACATATTGTACATTTCCAGACACTGGAGTTAAGGGCTCATTTAGAATATTTCAGATATACTGGAGTTTGACAGTTCTTTGGTTTCCACATCAAACAATCTGTAATTTATTGCCCCATATAGGGACTGTGTTTTTATCATACTGCATATTCTCTAGCCAGAAATCTAGCTACCATATAAGCTCTTGAAAAAAAAAACCCTTTGGGGATCGGAATCCAGGCGATATGCTTTCACAGACCCTGAGAAACCCGCTTTGATTTATTTCCTTGGAAATAATGGGAACACACAATTTCTTGGAGTATTACAGCTGTTCCGCCCAAGCAGGATCTCACCGCCTTTCTTCACGTGCTCAGCGTAAAGACCTGGGTCCTGCAGCAAGCCCCGTGTGAAAGCGCCTCGTGTTGCTCTTCGTGGGGTTTACGGGAGGATGAGAACAAAATTTAGAAGTTTTATGAGGCAGTAAAACACGGAGCTCTAGCTGGAGGGGGGAAAAGAAAAAAAGGAGGCCCAGAGGTGCGAATGACCGAAGACAAAATAGACTTGAAGTTTGCAAAAAAGCACGACCCGGCGTTTAAATAGCTGCGTTTGAAGCTGGGTTGATCAACCAATATGTCCTATATTTGTTTCTAGGTTTAATGGGCTGTTTTCCTGCGGCCTGGCTGCTGGGAGAGGGCATGGCGGAGGTCACGCAGAAGTTAATTTGGAAAGAGGCCAAAAGGCCACAACTTGATTGAATCAAATGTAAACAAAATAGGCCTGGGAACAGCGCGATGCCCTTGTGCCCGAGTCTCTCTCAACCTCTTTGCTTAAAATATAGAGTATGGCGGAGCACTGGGGACTGGCGAAGGGGGTCGGGGGGTCATCCCCCCACCGCCACGGGGGGACGATGCTTGGGGTAGCAAAGGGTCAGATCCAGACCGTGCTTGGGGCACATGGGGAACCTGCAAA